AACTTTTACTTATGCATCATGTTTACCACCATATTATGCATCATATTCTAGAGAGTGTAAGTTATGCACATTGGAAAATTGCCTATATTGTTTTGAATTCAAACGCTATCATTCTTATTTTGACATTAGTATTGAACTTGAAGATTTAACTGAAAATTACACTGAGACACAGATTGGTTGTATGTTGTGTGAAACAGACTATAACTTTAATTTCAAACTTGGAATATGTTTAAAAAATGCTTCATCAATCGAGAATTGTGTAATATCTGTTACTAAATTAACAAATGAGGAAATATGTTTAACATCTTCCTTAGATAATTTCCAGGTGTCAAGAGAGATTAATAGTTGCAATTTGTTAATAACCAATTGTTAAATCTGTTTTCTTGATTACTATAAGAAGTTAACCTGCATAACATGTAAATCTGGTTATATATTATTTGGTGGAGTCTGCTATGAAGGTTAAGAATAAAGTGCCTCCTATTAAATTGAATTCTGAAGTTTGAAAGTAACAAGTTTTTTAGTTAACTTTTATTATAATTATAATTATTAAGAACCCCATAAATTAAATCCATGCGGAAGTTTTTGTAAAACTTGCAAGCTCTCATTGGGAGAGTATTATTGTGAAGAATGCTATTTATCAGAAGGAGAGTTATAGGTAAATGACATAAATTACATGTGTTAATATTGTTCTCCACTTTGTTAATATTGCATACGACGAGATACTTTAGAATTAAAAGTAAATATGTATTGATGATAATTAGAAAATGGCACCATTTCTTTTACCCATATATTATTTATCCAAATATATAAAGAGTTGTTTGTTCCTTTTTAAGATCCTTTTATTAATTGCGACCCCTATTTAAAAACCACCTAATATTGTTTCGACGGTGATTGCAATAATGAACTAACTTATGAATTTATTGAAGACAATTGTTTTTTTGATAGATTTCCACAAAACCTAGATAACCTTATATTTCAAACGGAATATTTGAATAGTATTGGAGTTGTTTCTATGACCATCATTATTAGGATAAAAATAGAAGATGAATATTGTAGTCTCTTGCCTTCAATAAGAATAAGCGCTTCCTTGAAATTTGATGTGTTTACTTTATAAATTATACATTTTAAACTTCTAGCAACTTATCCCTTTTACTTACAACTTTAGAATTCGTTTTACATCGAAGATTTCGATTCCTTTACAATGATTGACTATGGAATTGTTTTCACTCACTTCAATATGTAGGATCTTAATATCAGTAATAGTTATAATGAAGTAAATTTCACATTGATAAACATTACTATAAAGGATAGTATAACTGAAAATGTTCAATCCTTATTTAAAACAAAGAACTTTGGTTACGTAGAGTTATAATATAACTATAATCAATAATAACTTTATTAATTCTTCGCTCTTCAATTTTAACGCATTTAACTTAATTGGGAATATTAAAATCAATTAATTACATTTATTTAATTGTAATTTTACTAACTCAGTATTGTTTGAATTTTCTTACAGCCTCTTGTAATTTAATGAACTTAATAATAAGGAATAACAAATTCCAAAATTCAGATTTGTTTCGATTTTTTTCTGAATTTTAATCAAGTGATCTTTTCATAAGGCTAGACAATTTACATATTGAATCTAATGAAGGATTAATTACTCTAAATCAGGTAAGCTATTTGTTCAAAATCAATGGCAAAACTATTATTTTGAACAACTTTTCTATATATTAAACTAAAAAGGTTTATATTCTTTATTTCTTTGAAAGCCAGGATATAGAAGTAGAAAACTTTATTTTTGAGAATCCTGAAATTGAAGAAAATATATCAGTCTCAACAAACTGCTTTTAAAATTAAAATTTTAAAAATCAAATAATATCAATAAATGGGTTTAATAAAGTTTCTATATCTGATTTTAAAATACAGCATATATAAAGTATAGATCAATCATTAATTAAAATTATGTCTAGTAGCTAATATTTCTAAGAATAACAAGGTTAAATTACAATAATAAATATTGAGTTTTATGGAAATCTCCTACAATCGCTGAATTCAATAATATATTATTCACTTCTTACAATAATTTCTGATAGAAACCTCGATATTCTAATTAAAAATGCAAAATTTTAAAATAATATTATGCATGTCTATAATGAAAATTCTTTAAAGGATTCAGCAGCTTTATTTTACTTTTCTACTTTAGCGAGTACCATTCAAATAAAAAATTTATAATGCAAATACAATGGAATGACTAACTCATCCAATTCATTTATTCACGTTGTAGCGAGTTATTTGAAAATGAACAATATTTAGGTAAAATATCATAATATTTTGCCTTTAAATATTTTGAATTATTATTATCATTTAATATAAGCGAGTTAAGACTAGATTTTGTCACTAATTAAATAGATATTTAAATAAAAACTATTGGGGGCGCAACATATATTTAAACATCTAATTTTATATGTATCAACTCAACCTTTGAGGAAATATCGACTGCGAAAATCTCAGTTTTTGATATTGTCACTTCAAGCGATGGAATAATAATGATGTAAAATCTATCTATTTTTTAAATGAGAAATAGTTTACAAGAAAATATTGAAAATGAAGGGTGCTTAAGTGTTAATGCACTGAATAGTTTGTTAAATCTTCAAATTAAAAATACTAAATTTTCAAATATACCTAATAGGATGTCATCATCCATAATAACAATAAATCCTTCATTACTTGAAAATAAATTGATATTCTAAAATATTACTATAGTTGATTGTGTTTCGTTAAAAAATTAGATCGTGAAAATGTAGTTTATTACTTAAGCAAATAAATAAAATTCCATTTCATTTATAGATTTAAAGATCTACTAAAATTAAGAATCTTGGTTCAATTTATTACAGAATATTCGAGAATTGTCTGAATCTGAAATTCAAGAAATAACTGGAAAAGATAATGCAATAATATATTTAGAGAATTGTGATGCTAATATAGAAAATCTTTTTTTGAAGGTATGTTGTTTTCTCGTTTTTTTAATTTAAATAACTTTATTTCAATCAGGCTGAAGTATATGGAAATAATCTTGTTGAAAACCCCAGTTATTTGACACTCTCCATAAATTCAAAAGCAATGCCTGCTGTAGAATCAACAATTAATAATATTTAAACAAGCATCCTAAAATTAACCCCTTACTTGGTAATGGAACAAGGAATTAAAAAATAAACAGAAATGCTAATGATTCTCAGTACATAAATAATCGACACGTATTAAATATTTATTGTCAGTTAGGCTACTTACTTAACATACATCAAAAGTATGAACATTTATTTCAAAAATAGTAAGGGGGAGTTACTCCTTAATCTTTATAATTCAATCTGTGAAGTTACAGATTACATAAGACAGCCAACAAAAATTTTGAATTAAATACTTTATCTTTTCGACTTGACCCATATTAAAAGACGATAATCACTTAGAAATGTAAATGTTTTGCAAAACTGAAAAATCAAAAAACGGTCTAAATTATACAATTAATGCAAAAAGTTTTAAATGCCAGCTTGGAGAATTTTATATCGAAGGTGGGTGTTAGACTTGCAAATCTAGTCAAGGATTTTACAGTGTAACTTACGATGCAATTAAATGTTCAATTTTTGATAAAACCAAATTCTAAATTGTAACTTCCAATATGCTAAACTTACAAAAGGGATATTGGAGACCTAATTATTTATCCGATGCTACAGAGGATTGCTACAAAAATACAGATTTTGTTTAGGGGGATGGTAAGTTGGAGATAGCACTTGTGGTAAAGGACACATAGGTGCACTATGTGAAATGTGTGATTTATACGATATCAGAGGAGAAGGGTAGTATTTTAGAAGTTAATAAAATGTATTATGTATATCATGCTTAAATGAGGAGAGCAGCATCCTTCCTTTTTTATTTGCTTTATTTTAGTATAGAATATTATTTACCTTAGGGCATTATTATCAATTGTACTATCAGTTAAAAGCATCAACAAATCAAATTCATTATTCAACTAGCTTACAGTTTTCTAAAAGAATTTTAGTAAAATTCTATTTAAATTAAATTAAGGTAATTATCAATTTACAATTAGATCATGAGGGTATATTAATTAAGATTTTATTAAATTATCTATGGACGTTTTCATCAATATTTACTTTTAATATCAGGTTTTCATTTCCTATCTTCTTTATTGAACAATCAAGTAATAGCTTTTATTTTATGGTAAATAATTTAGATTGTTATTTATCAAATTTATAAATACATTTAATTTACGCTTAAATTATTTTTATACTATTATTAATGCTGCTACAATTCTATTTTATACTTATCATTTCGTTTATTTATTTTCAATTTTCATCAAATAAATGGATAGGAGTATCATTTCGAATACCATACTTTGCTTATATGTTTTTAATTATGGGGGATTAATCAAATTGTAAGAAAGATTTAATAAATTAGGTTATGTTCTAAATTGTCTGTTAGATAAATATCAAATATTGATTACATTTAAGGGGATGTTTCATTATTATTTGATAGCTAGGAACACTACTTGTGGGTTTAATTTCTTATCATACCACTATTACTAATTTTTGGCTGCATTATTCCATTTTCATTATTTTTATTGATGTTTCGAAATAGATCTAACCTAGATAAGATAAAATTTAGAAAACATATCTGCTATTTATTTAATGAATACAGTGAAAAGACATATTTTTGGGAATAGATTAAGTTGATATAGAAGACTTGTATTATACTAGTAATAACTAATTTTGAAAATAATGTGTTATTAAAGACAACTTTATTAGGCATTTGTGTAGAAGCATACTAAGTCTTAGCTATCAATAATAAACCTTATATTATTTCGAAATTTAATAACTTAGATTTATAATCAGGGTAAATTTGTTTAATAGCCATTTTTCTTGCAGCAACCAAATATGAAAGTTAGGTTTTGCAAAATGATTTTTTTTCAATGTTCCTTTAAATCATTTTGATTTTATTATTAATTCGACTAAGTTTTCCTTTTATTAAAGACATTTTAATTCTTTATTCAAAAAAATATTAATTACCAGTTTTGACGAAACTCCATTCAGTGCTGAAATAATCAAATATAAATTTGTTTAAAAACATTGGAATTTATGTGGATTAAGAATTTGAAAAAAGAAAAAAATTATAAATGAATATTCAAAAAATGAAATTGATTTTATAAAGTAAGTATGGAAATGGAAAAGAAATGTAATATTCTTATTTATTATAAGATCTTTTACCAAAAGACCTATTCTTAAATCAAATACATATAGCAAGACATCTTTTATTGAGATTAACAATCAATAATAATTTTGAGTTTATTATTATTTAATATCAATAATTTTGTTAAATTTCTATTAAATGATATGTTGATGTGTGTTGAACTTTCTAATTCTGATTGTACTTTATTATAATTGCCAGCAGTTTTGTAAATTTAAAGCATACTCAATGTAATTTGATCTCAATTTCAACACAAAAACTACAATTAGCATAATCACAATATATTTTATTGTAATCACTATACATATTTAATTATGAATAAATTTGGAGTCTCAGATAAATAGGTGAAAATATACACTCAATTCAACCTTTTTTAAACATTGAAATTCGCACAAATAACAACTGTTCCTTGGATTATCATTTCCATCTTCACACTATTCAAAAGGGTCAACAATGATCCCATATCCACATAAAGTAATGCAACGGTTTTATTGATCAAGAACTCACCCTGGAGTAATAAAGGCTTTGCAAACACCATTCTAACATTCAGTACATTATTCTCTGAAAATTAAAATTTGCATTCATACCAACCATCATATGGAAGCTAATTGCCATCATCACATTCTTCTAACCCTAAGACTAATTTATCTCCACATATTGATATACATGTTGCATCAATAAGTTACCATCTTTTAACATTAAATTCTTGACAAAAACCCAATTGACATAATGTGAGTTGGTCTTAACATCGAATATAGCAGTCAATGCACCCATCAGCATCATAATTCCATCTTCATATTATTCATTCTATACAACCAATAAGTCTCCACAAGTATGTTGTTGCAATTTATATTTTGAATTAATCTAAATTAACAATAACTGACCAAAATTAAATAAAAAAATCCAATAATAACAATTCATATTGAATAAATCTAATTTCCATCCAAATGAAGTGCATTCATAACATTGTACATCAATGAACGTAGTACATAATTCATTACAGTCTAATTTACAGCTCAGAAATATTTCATTAGAACCTAAATCACGATTGTGACATTATTCCTCATGCTCTAGAATTTCGACTCCACACATACTATTGAAGCTATTTTTGGATTTATTTAAGGAATAAACTATTGAAAATTCAAAATTTGCTCCAAATTAACAAATTTGACAATATTAATTACATTATAATACACATAAACGACATCCATAATATAGAATAATATTTCCATCATCACACTCTTCATAGTCTGATAAATAACTATCTCCAGAGTACGAGATACATTAATTATTTATAGTATTAAGTTGTGACAATCATACATACCATTAAAACAACCATCTTGTGCTTATCATCGAGTTGTTCATTCCATTTTTTATGTCCATTCTTTAAGATTTCAAGGCATTTTCACTCTAGATTGTAATATCCATGCTCAAAATTAGTACAACTCCAAAAATGCACTCCAATATGATTAATAGCATTAATATTGTGAAAGATAGAACCCTCATACATTATGGAATAATAGTCATCACATTTTTCTTCACAAACAACTTTAGAATCTCCAAAGAAGAAATAACACTACTTATCCAAATTTACAAGCCATCCTTCTTTACAATTAGACAATTAAAATTCTGGCAAATTACGCACAACTCTTAACAATTATATCTACATTAGAACCCATTTTTATCAATTAAATCATCACATTCTTCATAATTTTCCACTATAATTCCGTCACCACATATAGTTTCACATTTGTTTTATTACTCATCCAATTTCCATTCAATGGTATCACTTTATAAACATCCATTTTAGTACATAAGCTACACGCCTGTTAACAACTGAATTAACATAAATAGCATCCATCATCTAATAGATTATATATATCTTCACAGATATTCTCTTAGTTCACTAATACTCCATCATCACACACTAACACTAATTTCTAAAATTTAGTATTTCCATTTATATCCTTAGAAACAAGAACACAAACTCCCTTAATGCATTCTATCAATTAATAGAGCATGTTATTTAACATTAATTGCAAGGAATATCCTGATCATAATCATATTATTCTTCTTCAAGAATAAAAATATTGTCACCACAAATACTATGGCAAGCTCCATCGGTTTATAAATACAGAATAATAGGTTATTATTTCCATTTCTACAAACCATTTTCTTTATCTAACCAAAAACAATCAAATGATAAATAAATTTAAATAGAATAAATAAGAATCCTTTTAATGTTGAATAGGGTTATATTAATTATTGAGATTAATCAGGCGTAAACGCTAAATCCATGTAAATAAGCAAATAAGAGGATTAAATTCAATTATTGTAAATAAAAGTAGCTGAGCTTTTATAATAAATCTAATATTTGAGAAACATATATTAATTTCTCGTAAGTTAAATAAAGTTAGCAAAGGCTTCATGAGAATCTAGTCACAGATTCCCTCTTCACAATCTAAGAAATGAGAGAGAATCGATTGTTGTCATTGCCATTCCTCTATATTCTTGCATCATATTCAAATGGTTGACGAAGAACTTCCATTCTTGATTGTATTTTCCAAATTTTCTGTAGAATCATTCTCCAAAACTATTGTCTCCTTTACTCTAAATGATGATTATTATTGGTGCATTGTTTCCATGATAGAAGGTTTAAATGCCTGATTCTTCATATGTCAATCATTAGAAAGAAATTTTTGGATGGAGGTACTGACTCTTTTTATTCTTGAAGTTGTATC